TTGCTATTGCTAATTGCTAATTGCTAATTGCAAATGCGGGTGCTTTTTTCTTTTTCTTTTTGTTTTTGGTGGACCCTTCCTTTTATTTTATTTTATCTCATTCTGTGATTTAATTCAACGGTGGAAAGCCCTTGTCTCCCTCTTTTTAATTCCTCCAGTACGACTGCGGCCGTCTTTCCTAATGTTTTAATATATCCTTTTAAATCTTTATTAATTGGGTGCTTTAAAAAGAAACATATTATATGCTACTTTTTTTAAATCTATTTTTAGTGCCATCAACATTCACATCTTGGACACACTATTAAAGATGTTAGGTTAATGTTTTATTGTTTATTACTGTGCTTTTTTCACTTTCTTTGCTTCTATATTTTTTAAATGTTTTACTTTACTTGCTGTATTTTCTATTCATCAAGTTTGATATCATAGGTTATAATCTCTACAGTTTTTTTACTTTTAATGTTATAATCCATATATTTTGATTTTTAAAATTAGTTAAACTAAAAGGGAGAGGAATTGGTAAATGTAAAATATTTGGAGGGTGACGTGGTGTTGCCACGTAAGCGGAAGGCAAGTTGGGAGATGTGTCGCCTTCCGATTGGAGTGTTTTGAGAGAGTAATCAGCTTTTTTTTATTAGGAAGTTTCTGTGAAGCACGTGCTGGATTTGGATTTTGAGCTTTACTTTACTTCTCTTCTAGGCAAAGGAGGAGACACGTCGTCAACTTTTTTGAATAATGAATATTCTAATTCCGTGTGGCGTTTACCGTCTGGTCCGCCGCACCCTATTATTTTTGTCCTTCTACTTGTATATGGTCAAACGAAACGATGCTGAATCAGTAACCGACATGTCGCTAACTCGGCTGCCCATTACTGACATAGTTTTGAAATTCGTGAACCATTTACGATGTTGTCGTCTAAGCTCCCAAAACCAGTGGGAGAAAGTTCACTTCTCAATTCTGGGCACTAGTGATACTCGAGGTAACTGAAAAAAGATGAGACAGGAAAGTAAATTTTATCCTGTATTACAAATTTTCAATTAAGTACCTAAAAAAAAACTTGTTAACCTAAAGTTAATATATCACTAAATTATTATTTTATCGAAATATTTCATATTTGCATATATGAGCATGCAGTTTGAGAAAAATAGTTTTGTTAATTCGATTGGTCAGATTTTGAGTTTGAGATTATGTGTTAAATAACTTTCGAGCGGCATATTCATGTATTTAAATAAGTTATTAAAAAGTCCTTTTATGTATGAGTGGAGGATTCGAGCACTTAACCTTATGGTCAAAGACAACTACAAATTACCGTTGAGTTAAGCTTATGTTATTAACATATATATTTTATTTTTAAATGAAACTAAAAACGTTTTAAATAAATTAATTAATTACAAACATTCATGTTCTTGATAATACAATTAATTATTAACGTTACCATAATTAATTAAAGTAGAAATAAAACGTTTATATTAATAAAATGTGGATATATATACATACTCAATAATAGAATGTATATTATTTATCTTTCTTTCTTTGCCATTCTCAACCTCTACTGTTATCACAAGTAGTCATAGAGTCATTAATTATGTTCTTCATCGTACTGATACTTCTAATCGTGTTTTCTTGCTAAGCCACTCACGAATGATTCCGACTAATATCATGTATTTTAAAAAGGTTTTTTGTGATTCATTTAAGCTTAAAAACTCTGTCTCTCTCAAATTTTTTCTTGGGTCATAACTTTTTCATTATCCCGATAGTATTTGTATCCCTCGAAGGCATTATATTTTGCAGTTGCTGGATAGTATTTGTATCCCTCAAAGACATTATATTTTGCAGTTGCTTGAAGATAGTGGTTTCCTTCACTATTAATCAATAGTTATTATCATGGATATGTCTAACCAGCTATTATTATGGATATGTCTTACTACATTCAAGATAGTCTTTAGTTTTCCAACTACGATTAACATTACGATTATTGTGTTTATTGTAGGCTAGTTGGGCAGCTTTTATATTTAACTATTATTATTATTTGAGGCCAAATATTACTTTTTACGTTCGTAAACTTGGTCAAATTGTTGCTAAATCCACTGAAACATATATGTTTGCTGTTCATTTACTTAAACTTATCTCTAGGTTTTTCTATTGACTTATTTTTCATTTCAACTCTGTGCCTTTGCTGAATTTGATCAGGCTTTATGTCCTGACACTTGACGCTCTGACTATTGATTTTTGTGTTTTTTTAGGAATGTTTTGGTGTCTTGGAGATCCAATAAGTAGTCAATTGTTTCTTGTTCTTCAATGGGGTCGGTATCGTGCATTGACTGTCACTACTGATGATCTAATTTGACTATCTCATTTACTCAAAGGATAGACATAATTTTTTTATTCTTAATCTTTTGTTTTGCGACAATCCAAATATATACTTCATCCAATTTAACATTTTATGAGATAACGAAGCATATTGATAAGCTCAATTGCCATTTTGTTCATGACTTCATCGAGATTCTTCCTATTCATTATCATTTACAACTAACTAATGTTATAAAAAAAAAGCCCTCCCAACTAATATTTTGTTTTCTTTATTGTCCAATATGGACTTTTTGATTAGGTGTATACCATGGCCGTCTCGAGGGAGGGTAGTATGAGATAGTTGTTTGGTTAGTTAACTACTTGATTATTTAGTTGTTAATCATTTATATTATTATTCGTTAGTTGCGTAAATATATTGTATTGAGTTAAAAGAAATTCAATATTGAGAATGTCATATTATTTTCTTCGTCTCATTGTTATTAATTATAATGAAAGCAATCCCTAATATGAACTAATTAAGTAGTAATTGACATTTGTTTCTGACTAAGAGATCATAAATTTGAATCTTCCATTCTGTAACTCAACTCGTCAAGACATCTGAATTTTCACTCTATACGTTGTACTAAAAAGATAAAATAATCAATATATAAGATAAAAGATAAATATATTATTAGACCATACCTTCCGACTCCCTAATAATGATTATATGATGACTATCCACCAAACATATTGATTGGTTCAACAAAAAATTTATTAATTTTTTTAAAAAACCTACAAACTAAAGTTAAAAACATTTGAGATACCAGACACCACTTGAAAATTAAAAAGAAAACAAAATATTACTTAATTTTCTGATTTGATGTTGATGTGAAAAATTAATGATGATTAAGCTTTGAAATTATTGAAATGGTTATTAGTTGCTTTGCGTAGAAACATGGAAAAATATCACATTTGCCTATTATCGGTAATTAATATATGATGGCTAATCTCGGATCTTCGAATTTATTTAATTAGATGCCTTATAACCAGGATTGCTTTAAATATAATTCATCTAACATTTTAACTTTTATATTTGACATGAAATTCACATTTTGAATCAAATATATCTAATTGAGCAAGATCCCTAATTGGAGTGTTAATTTACTATGTTTTTTTTCAAACAAATACAATTATAACTAATATGTCTAATGGGTAATTATATCGAAAAGAGAAATCAAAATATAAAAATTTTAGAAATGTAAAGTCTATATAATGCATTACATGTGTAAATGAATTGTGAACGTCTTCTAAAATATAATCATAACTGAAGCTTTAAATTATGATCCATGAATTAGTTAAAATGTCTAATGATTAACATTTATTTAGGAAAACTTAATCATATATCTTAATTTTGATCCATACTTTGGTTAAAATTTTATTTTTCAATAGAGTAGTTTGATTAAAATCTATTTTTTCAAAAATTGGAAAACCGCCACTCAAAAAAAGAAAAGAAAAAACGAAATTGGAAAACCAGTCCAATCGAACAGCTGGGATTTAAATTAAATGCAGCGCTCGAGGCAGCGGATCCTTTCCCCTGGACTGGAGTCCAAATCCCGTCAAATTATCCTCCCGTACTGTTTTTTTGATGTAATTATCATTTTTACTTCGCTTCGATGGAAGCGGGAATTTTCTTCTCCGTCGCTCCAATTCTATGGAGTCCCAATTTCAAGTGCGCTCTCTGTCCCGTTCGTCGCTCTTTCCCGCGTATCATAAGGGCTTCTTCTTCTTCTTCTTCTTCTTCTTCTTCTTCTTCTTCTAGTTCACCGGGACGTTACAGAGGGCCGAAGCCCACAAGGGATTGGGTGGCCGATTGGGTCACCCAGAACGACGATGCTGTTCGGAGCTTGCCCATTTTCGTGGGAGGAATTTCTCTCTTGGTCGTCCTCTTCAATCGCGCCGTTTCTGGCATTGCTCCCGTCGCCGATGCCAGCAGGTTCAGTAGCGAAATTCAAACTAATTTTTTCATCACTGTTGTCTATTCCCACAATCGAACTATGTGTGCTTATTCTGGAATCTTATAAATGCATAGCTACGATGATCTGTAACTTAAGAGAAGAAATGAACAATTTTGTTGAGGTGGGGATGGAAATTCTGTATTCGATATTTTCCAATTTTGGCGGCACGATACTGCAACCAATACTCGATTTGAGCCGTGGCTCAATGTAATTAGCTGTTCTATTTGTGACAATAAACTATTATCAATTTTGGCAGTTCGCAGTCAAGAGCTGATCTGTTAACACTTGGACTTGCTGTTACGAATGTCTTGGCTGGTTTGGTGTGGCTGTCAATCAGGCCGAAATCTATAACGCCGGTGAGGGTTTTTTGTAAGATTTTCTTACTCAACATTTCCTCTCTCACTACAACGATCAGCTTGAGCGTTCCCTACTCTCTTTTGATATGTTTTTATTTTCCGTACCAGGTAAATACACAAGGTGTTGCATGTAAGAGGATGTGCTCCAGTCTCCCCGATCTTGTTACATTTGAGTTGTTATGGTAATACAATTTTCTGTATGATACTTCAAAATTGGGGATTTTGTTAAGCATTGGAGTTAGTTAAGATAATTGGGATCACTTTTCAGCATGCTTAAAATCAATCTTATCGGGTGATTATTCTGGTTTGGTATTGGAGAAAAATTGGCGAAACTTAAATTGTTTGCTTCAGATTTATGACCTTTTATTATTAGTTTCCCAGTGTTATCTTATAAATTTTATAATCCACATTCATTTTCTTTCCCCTCATTGTCACACGTTCATGGAAATGTACAGTGACAGAGAAAGCTGATTTCACTTGCTATCTATCGGTTAAATTACTTATAGTATTTGACGCTAAGGACAATTCTTAGAGGAAGAAAGAAAAATCCTGGACTAGCTGGTTAATGGTTACTTTTTGCTGCCTACTCTTAGGGTATGGGAGTCTCTGTCCGAAGTGACATGCTGCAGGTCTCTGGTTGTTGTTTATGATGGCATGTGTTTATTTCAAGTTGGTTTTGCTGCCGAATCAGTTGAGGGTGATGGCGAGGCCGAACATGTGGATGCTAGTGAATTGATGCAGGGATCGCTCTATCAAGGAATTCGCAAATCTCGAGCTCGTGAGTAGTAAATGACCTGCATATAGAGACCATCACACAATGTACTACTTGATTGCCGTGCAATTTGTTAATATCTGCAACTATTCCTTTTGAGAGTATCTTTCCTATTTTTATAGAGAGCTACTTGGCCAATCTCTCTCTTTATCCGGGGAAGTCAGAGCTGCCATTTCTCCCCTCAAATACTCAGGTACATTGCTTACTACAATTCAGGCTGTTGCTAGATTTGTTCCTTTTTATTTTTTCTTTGATTTTCTCAGTTGTATATAACTGGTAGTATGGTTTTCTACAGTTGCTTCATTCTTTTGTAGTGTCACTTTTATTTTACTATAGACATACAAACGTATAAACATATAAACTAATGAAGTCAAATTTCATTGGTCTATGTATGATTATTGTGGTTCAGAGTATAAATCATGCTCAAGTTTTAAGCATAATTTGGTGCATTTGAAAAATAATTTGGTTGTCAGCACACACGTAATTATCTAGCATTCTCACATATTCTCTTCAGAAACTTGGGAAGTACTTTTCCCTGCTTGCTGGCTAGATAGAGCCTCTTCTTTGTCTCCCTTGTTCTCTGAAACCAGACTCTGTTACTTTACATGACAAAATAGGTAATAATGTGACGGAAATTTTAATTTGTTTTGCAAATTTTTAGATTCTATCATTGAAATAAGATTAGTTCTTCACCTGTTTATTTTATGGGCTTCCATATTCAGTGGGTGGTGGCTAATTAAGCACATGAAAAGTTGGAACCTTTTTCGAGAATCTACCGTTTGTAGAAACTAATTGTGAATTGAGTCACTTATTCACAAGCCTGTGTTTTCGAAGGAGCTCAGGAAGAATAGTTTTAATTATTTAAGAAAATAAAATAAGTTATGAAAACGAAGTAATAAATTTAAAGAATAATAAATGATAAGAACAAAGTAAGGAAAATGGAAAATCTAAATCTGTTTTTACTAGTTTTTCGTTTTAGAAAAAAAAGAAGAGACAGTTCTAAACTCAACTTCCAGATAACACAAACAAACATAGCATCTCTCTCTGTCTCTCCTGCATGCTTGGATGGCCTTGTAAGAATTCCTATGAGCTACTTTCCCTCTGTAATGTCATTAGCGTACTTTACATCACATGTGTAGAGGGTAATCCAAATAATCCATATTTACGAACTTTGTACTAATTAATATCTACGAATAGATACAGAAAAACATGAATTTATTACTGTGTGTTTGTGCACACTGCATCATACTTTGTTAGATAGACAGATATTTGAAGTAAATTGTAACCGCTGAGTTCTAAGACAATTCTGCTATTCTAGGCGGTAATATTGCAACCACTTGGGGATAAGGGTATTGCTGTCATTGGTGGAAACACTATTAGGGGTTTCACAACCTCTGATCAGGTACTCGTCCTTAAAGCCTCTTCTTCTTAATGGGTCTTTTGTCAATATTTGTGGATCTTTTTCCAAATGTTACTTTTGTCAATATTGGGCTCGGATATCGTTCTATCCGTACTTCAGTTTGAATTAAATGAAATGCACGTTCTACCTATCCGTTTGCCTAAGGCTCCGAGTTCTCATCCGATGCATGAAGTTTCAACTCCTCTACCTAGCTGTTCTCAACCCCCCCTCCCCAAAGGGATGTAATTGATGTTGTGGTAGCTTGCTTCAATTTCACATAAATACATATTATCTGCATATTGACGTGTGATAACATTTTTCCTTTTAGAAGTATTTTATTCTCTATGGCATAATTACAATTTCCTGCTTAAAAACTGAAATGTTCACAGGCATGGATTTCACTAGTTGGAGAGAAGCTGGATGCTACTCTGTCAAAATATTCGAACAATTTCCAACCAGCGGTAAAATTGAGTTCAGAGGGGAATTGAACTATTGATGGGCAAACAAGACACGGTTATTTGGTTATTTATTTTATTTATTTCCAATGTTTTCAAATCATTGGGCAGGTAGAGAAATAATGTTGAAGGCCCTGGAAAAGCAGACAAAGCAACTCAACTATGTAGTTCATTTCTATGTCTAGTTGATCGAATCATAAATACAAAAGCTTCTCTTTCAGATTCACTGATTGGTGGTAACGTTTGGTTCATTATTCTTTATGCATTTTCTGCACCTGGGGTAATGCCGAGTGCATTACTTGATGTGTGACATAGCAGACAGCAGATGATTAAATCAAATTTGAAGTATGAATCAGAAAGAATTTCATTCCAAAATATGAGATGTGAGTAAAAAACCTGTAACTAAACCGTAGCATGTCCATGGAGTAAAAATTAAAAAAAAAAAAATCAGATAAACATTCTTTTTGTAGAAAAAATCAGTTGCTTGCCGTATGATTACTGTGTACAGGTCACTAAGCTGCAGGCTGGCTGCCAAGAGTTGTTAAGTAGAAGCTTTCTCCCATGGTAGGAACCCTGTCAAAGGATCAGAGAACAAAATTTGGATAAAATCTCTTAGTCCAGTGTCCCAAACTTCACAGAACTGCAACCTCCAATTGGATGGTTCAATAGCCTCTGTCCCAAGCCCGGGTGCTCTATCCTTCGACCCTTCATTCTGTGCCTCATGCCAATCGACAACGTAGGTAGCTACTCTTCTGAAAAATTTTGCTCGAAAAGTTTCCCACGCTTGGTATTTGTAATGGTTTATCACGGCATTGCTTTTTGATACGTCAAAGAACCCAAATCCTTGTTTCAGTTGAAAGTGGTGAACGACATTGAGAAGTGTCATGTCAAGCAAGTCTGGCCGGATGAACGATTTGTGTCTCTCGGGACTCTGGAGCCGGCAAGTGTACCCCATTGTTACTCCCTGTGGTGGATGTGATGTTAGACCCGATGGTCCGAAGCTGTGGCATGCAGTTCGAATCTCTGCAATGGTTGTTGAATTGGAAGTTGAAGAAGATGAATCGGCAATGAGAGAATGAAGGGCATTGCGGCCAGCAGTTAGGTATTCTCGCTGGTGGCGATACTTTGAAGGGAAGTAGAAAAACTCGTCAACATCAAAGAAACCAACCCACTTACATTCATCTCTAGCTCTCAAAGCACAGTGTGAGAAACCTGCTTCTTGGGTTTTAATCCATGGCCAGGTCAGCCTACTGATATTGTAGTCTTCCAGGTTGAGCTCTTGAATGACTTCTTCAATGCCATCATCACTATTGTTGTCGTAGATGAACCAGCGCCCGACTCCAAGCCAGGCATGGTACATAATCCATTCACGAAGTGCAGCCGCTTGGTTCCACACCATTGTGCACACACAAAGCTCATGTTTTTCCTGTTTTCTTTGCAGCTTATTCAGCTTGGAGTTGAAGAGTCTGGCCACCGAGGGCAGAGTCACCTGAAGATGGGTTTTAGTATTGACGCTGCCGCGGCTAACAGTAACTCGAATTCCCTTTTCCTTGTCTAAACTGCTCACCACACCAGCCGGTAAGGGGCACCTGATAATTTCTTGAGCTGCAGTTACTGCTTTTGTGGTAAGCACGTATTCTCCATTATCTTTGGAATTTCCCAGTTTAAAGTGGCAGTTGAATTCCGTCGGATTCGATTCCTTGTGTGGTCGGAGATTTAGTCCCTTGGCAAACACTATCACCGTATCGCCGTCAATAGCTGCCTCATAAACCAGCCTCTCCCACGACGCAATTGGCTGTCTGTTCCTGACCAACCAATGATCATCAACTCCCTCGCTGCCCCTTCTCAAGTCAACGGCGGAGGCCGAGTAATTCCGTGGCGGTAGTGGACATCTAGCAATCGATCGGAATTCATCGTACCTATCCGTGGATAGAACTGACTGTTTGAGAATCTCTTGGTTGAAACTTCTAGAGACTGATTTGCCGTATGAGCAATCTAATTTGTCATCTCGGCGGAGTTCGCCGGTGACAATCAAAAGCAAGTGGTCGGGAAAGAGGACACGACTTTCAATTCTGAGAGGCGAGTACTTGCTGCTGAGAGAATTGTCAAGTGTGGACTTGCTGACAGAGGTGGACAAGCGGGAGAGCGTGGTGGAGGAGGCATCGAGAACTGGGCGGAACGATGCGGCGGCAATGGAGAACCACCTACTCGAGGAGAGAAACAAGAGGAAAGCGAAAAAGGAAAGGCAAAGAAACAGAGATCTCCGAGTAAAGAAGTGGACGTGGGAGCTGGACCTGCCAAAACGCTTCCTTTTCCGGCGCTGCTGCTCCCAATCCATTAATCCAAAATTCACCCTTTCACAGAGAGTTCAGTTCACACCGGTGCAGATCCGGTGAGATGAAAGCAGAAGCGATTTCGTGGAGTTGGGGTTTTTCCGATAACCTGTCCGCAGCCTGCAATTACTGGGAAACGTAGTTTTATTAGTTAAAAAAAAAAAAAAAAGATTCGGCAGTGATGATGATGACGAAGGTGCTTGATTGTTTGCTGCTGAGAGGAATGAGGACTTTTATTGACAAATGCGGAGGCGTGAACATCACTCTCTCTCTCTTGTCCTGCTGCCAGACCAGACCAGACCGGACCATCGATTTTTCTTTAAAAATAAAGGAAAAAAAATTGAAATTTGAAGCTAGAAAAATACTTGCTTTTTGTATTTAAATTGGGCCATAGCATACCACACCACATGCCGGCTTTTTTGCCTTTTTTTCTCTCGCAAACCCTTTTTGTCAAACGAGTAGTGTTTTTGTTCTGGAGAGTAATTGATTAGCTGGAAAATAGACTTTTCCTCCTACTCACAGACTAGACTGTTTTTTTAGGTTTAGCTCGTTAAATTTAATGTTGAGAAATTGTTGAGGTGATTTTTTAAAACCCAATTTGCTTTGTTTATTGACCCATTACTCGGAACCTTCGGAAGAAATAAACAAACCAGATGCTCTGCCTCTCTATGCGGCAGATTTGTATTAAGAAATTTGTTAATGATTTATGACTGGGTTTTGGAATCTTAATTCAATACTATGGAGACCTCTGCCAAATTTATCGCATTAAGTGGGATGGTAAATGCACGTGGTACTGGGGCGGCTTGGCATGCTCACCGTTCCCATTTTGTTCCCACTATTTATCAATTTCTTTTATTAAAAAAAGGATAAACTATTTTATGAATTCTATTCAAACATCAAACGCAAAATTTTGTATTAATATCCATCTCCACATGCCGACCATTTACTATGGAACAAAATAATTCCCGAATTCAATATATTTCAATAATTGTTGTTTTCTCTTTTTCTCTGATGGTCGAGAATCTTTTGATCGGAGACAGATATCGTATGTATTCATTTTTCTTGTTATCCACATTTTAAAAATCTAAAACTAAATAGTTTTTAAGAATTTGTTTTTCATTTTAAAATTTGGCTAAAAACGTAAAACAAAAAATGAAATCAAGCTGCCGTGGTTACTGGGCCTCTTTAATCATCATTTTTAGAAACTTTTTGATTTCTGATTGTCATTGAATTTTGAGTGACCTTATTACTTTATCTCCACCCTTAATACTATTCATGGAATGATATCAAGGCGTGTTTGTTAATTAAATCATTATCGAATTTGTGTGATATTGTTAAAAGTTGGATATTGAGTTAAATTGAAGTAGATATGGCTGAGGAGTTAGGCGGGATGAATCAAATGAATGTTTATAAGTTAGATGAGAAATGGGTTAAGATTAGATATGTCAAAAACTCAAAACCCTGTTTTATTTTTTAGGAGGAATGAGGAACTAATTGTTGCCAATTCTTACAGTTGAAAATAGTATAATTAAAAATATTTGTAAACAAACAAAATATTCTTAAATATATCTGTTAATAATCGATTAATATCTTATCTACAAATAACATGAGAACTTTCCCGGTTGAAAGTCTAGAAATAGGGTGGGACAAAAGGAATACGTTCCCATCCCAAAAACACATTTGAATTCTTACCCAAATTTTAAGAAATAAAAACTATTATTTTTAGTTTTCAAAATTCTAACTTAGATTTTGAAAACGTTTTTAGGAGTAGATAATATAATAGATAAATATATATGTAGAAGTAGGATTTTTAAACATACTTTTTAAAACCAGAAACAAAAAACAAAACTGTTATTGAACAAGACCCATACAATTGTCTATCACATATCAAGCTAAGCCTACTTAACCAATATTTATCTATGACATACTACACTATTCTTTCACTAATAATTAATGTTAACTATATAAAGTAGATATTGAACTATATTTTATCTGATTTCTTCGGGTAAACCACCCTTTTACTCAGCCAAAACTTGCCTATATTTTTAAAAATCCTATCTAAATAAAAAAAAATGGTCTCATCTTTCATTATAAATATCCACTTTATTCCCCTACTTGCTTTGCCTCCATAATATTTATTATTGTATCTGCAATTCTATGGCCTCTTTGAGCAAATTGCTTTAAACCCTCAACTTTACTTAGGCAACCAAAAGAAGAAAAGAAAATAATAACAGCAGAAACTTCCCAACTCAGACGAAGGGGATAGATAGATTATTTTCCCGCAAAGTGAGGGAAAGGCAGTTTGGATTCTGTATTTTGGATGCCCTCTTTTCAACATTAGTTTTTACATCATCTCCTTATATATTTCCTTAATTTTTTAATATTTTATTTTATAATTAAATAAATTAATGTACTTATTGGTTAATAAATAACTCTATCCCATTCAAGTATATTTATATATTACATCTCATATAAAATAAACTTCAATTAAATAATCTCATATCCTAATTTATTTGGTTGGTAAATTCTCTTAAAATTTATATTAATTATACATGTTAAAAAAATTCCATAGAAATTAATGTTATTCTTTCTTCAATTTTTTTTTTCTGATTTGATAATATAAAAATATAACCCAATAAAATGTCACCAATGATATACTTTTTCTTTTTCTTTTGAAAAAAATTGGGAGTTAAAATAAGACTTAATCGGTAATATTAAATATTGGATAAAAACTATAAATTTACGTGTACCATCAAATAACATTTTAATTTAATATAAACTAAATTGGTTAAATAATATAAAAATCTAGGTATAAATTACATGAGTATTGGTAAGGATTTTTTCTTAACAAACAAAATTTTTTTTGAATATCCCCATATAATATATAAATACTACGGACAAAACATAGCTATTCAAATATTCTTAAATATCATTATAAGTGAGATATTATAAGTGAGATACATGGATTTTCAGACCTCTAAAATTTCAAGCATCTAAGGCGATGAAAAAGTTCAAAAATGGTCTGGAAGTTTATTATTTTGGCATATAAACTCACATCATTGGAATGGCTTAAACCCAGTCTCCACCAACTCCATGAAAGGGACGAAAGTTGACGAACACATAAAGGTGCATACAAGGAACAGTAATCTTCAAAAAACAAGGAGAAACCAAGAAGGAAAAAAATTATTTGTTTTGACTGTGACGGGGAATTAGGTCGCTGCAAAAAAGTTTTATTTTTTCCTTTAAATTAATAAATACCATTTCTTATTTTGAATGATTAACAGGATATTAATCATCCTAAGTTGAAATTTGATCAATATTATTGGTATATTCTTTAGGCTAACCAATTTGTCTTCTTTCACCTAATTAAATTAGTGTTGCTTTGTATAATTATAATAAAGGCAAATCTGGACAAATTAAACAGCTCAGATTTTGTACCAAT